TTGTCAGCTGTCTGTGGAAAACGCCCTGCCTCGTTGGCAGGGCACTAAAACGAACTGAGAAGAAAAAAAACAAACAACAAAAGAACAAAATACGAAACAAGCCAATATTATGGGCAGATGCATTCTTTGAAGCACTATTGTGAGCACACTTGCTTCACGGCTTACCCCCTGACGCCCTTCGTTTCAAGTATGCAGCTCCTTTCTTCTTTTCTGTTTTGCTTTTCGCACGATCCCACAATGTGGCGGACCTGCCAGGATGGCGGGCTGTCAGGATGAAGACGAAGGGGTGAGCAAGACGGAGATGGAGATGGAGCTGGAAGGGACAGCGCAGCTCCAACGCAGACTCAACACGCACGTACTCCGAAGTGTTCAAAATGAAGAATGAGCTGAAACAGACTGCAGCTGGGGTATACCCTATCGGACTGACTGGACTGGACTGGCCTGGTACCGACAGTGGTACCGGGCAGGGCTGGACTGGACTGAGTGAGCACACAGCTTGTGGGGTCAGGCCACGGTCTGGTCCCCCAGGCCGAACAGGCAAAATAGCCTGATAGGCAGGCCAGGGCAGATAGAGGCCCGCTGCACACGAGACCCAAAATTTTCTTCTAGCCAAACCTCTATCTGACCCCCAAAAAATGCGGTGCGACGTATATTTCCATTTTTCCCAACACTGGCTAAGGTAGTGGTGGTTTAAGGGGTGTACCCACTGAGCTAGGCCAGTTGGGTACCTGTCTCTTTTTTTTCAACCAGTCTCGTTTTTTTTTACCGCCGTAGAGATTATACTATAGGCATTGTGGCTGTGCAGGATGAGTGAGGTTGGGTACACCGTGTCGGGAGATCTCTGTGGTGGGGTGGGGTGGGGAGAAGTGCTCATCTTGGGGCTTTACTTTCACCGCAGCCCACTTAGCCTTATGGTTAGGTGTTTGCCTGATGAGCCGAGAGTTGTGTGTTCGAGTCCTGTATTCGACATACACAGTCTCTTTTTGTCTGTTGCTGCACTGACTCAATTCTCAGTCTTTGTTGGACCGTCTGGCAGTTTGTGTGTCTGGCTGTTTGTCTGTCTGTTTATCTGTTTGTCTGGCCTTCTCTGGGCATCTGCGTGTCTGTACATCTTGTCGTTTGTCTGGTTGTCGGGCTGTTTGCCTGCCAGCTTGTTTGTCTTTTTGTTTAAACCACCACTACCTTTCTCACTGTTTTGAAAAATGGGGAAGTAGGATATACCGCAAACTGTGTGGAGTTCACGTGGAGGCTCGGATAGAAGAAACTGTCTGGGACCTACGGGCCCGTTTGTAGAAAAACGAAACAAAATAAAAGGAAGCAACTGTGTTCAAAGCTAGGCCGTTTTCCCGGGCGCCCGGGCACCCAAGTTGTGCCCGAAAACATGCCGGGGTGATTGGCCGGGCATGACCCCCGGGCAGGGTCCCGGGCTGCCCCAGCGCCAAAAAAAGAAAAAAAAAAAAGGAAATCCAAAAAAATCTGGGAAAAAAAAAATGTTGTGTAGAATTGCAATACAAAGTTACAAACAACTTTTGGTTGAGGGTCACATCAGAATTCCTCATGGAACAAAATAAAAAAGAAAATAACCAAATCACACCAAGGCACCACCCTTTAAACCCTTTTAGCCCCTTTAAAAATAATTTATACCCCCCTTGGCCCCCCCTTGAAGGAAACACTCAAAAAAAGAAAAGAGCCCGGATTTGAGCTCCTCTCTGAGAGCGCGGAAAACCCCCACTGCCAATTTTTTTTTTTTCTATTTTTTTCCCCCATGCCCAGGTATCCCGGGCGTCAGACCCCCCCGGGTGACCGGCCGGTCATGAAAATCTTCCTAGGTTCAAAGGCACGACGGCGGGGTAGGCTTAGAACAAGGTGTGTGCACCTCGAGACTTCCAGGCACGAATCTAGCCACTGACTCCTATGTCACGTTCCGATGGAACGGAGAGAGAGACAACGCCAGAAATCAGGCTCGTTAGGCCCCAAGATGGTTAGGTTGTGCCCACAGATTGCTGTGTTTCACAGTCTGCAATCCAAAACGCCCGAATCACGATTCTGTCAGTCACATACCCAGTCTCGTCACGGCGACCCCTTGGTATCTCACATCTTACTGCTCATCATGGAAGCAATCGCCTCCTTTTTGAGAAAGGACCACTCGTCCGTCTACTCAGAACAGCAATCCCTCTTATGACTTTTCCGTGCCAGCAGGACTACCGTGTTCACCCGAATAGAATGCCTGGTCATTATAGCCGTATTTGAGGCAACTTTCACTCTAGATACAGCCATAATGACCGGGCGTTCTATTTGGGTGAAGACGGTAGTGTTTGCTGATTGCCTGAGAATCCTGATCAGGGGTCACCAATTCTTCCTTTCGACTGTTGGCCAGAGCTATGGAAGCCTTCAGGCTAGCAAATGCAGGTCAACCGGTCCAAGACAACATGATGGTCACCGGCCGAAGACAGCTCCCATCAACCGGAACGCATCCCCGATCTTGTATCCGGAACCAATGTAGATTAGGCTCTGTGCTACCTACCCTCTTCCCCCGAACACAACGCACCCTCATTTTAGCTGCACCTGACAGGAAATATAGCTTTTATACATTCGTTATCAGGGTGCGTTGTGTTCAGGGGAAGATGGTAGGAATCATGGTAAGGGAGCACAGAACCTGGCGCCTGGTATTGGCCAGGATCTAGTGGCAAAAGCTATGAAGTTACCGTCTTCACCGAAATAGAACGTATCGTCATTAGTGCTGTATCTTGACTTAAAGTTGCCCCGAATTGCCCCGAATACAGCTATAATAACCTTACGTTGTATTCAGGTGAAGACGGTAGCATAAACCGTATAGCACCACGCAATGAAGGTCAAGCCTCGATGCAAGGCGGAGTCTTGATCGCCAACACAGCAGTCCTCTGAAGACGTTGGTATAGGTCCTCAATATGGTCTCCACCCGACGAGTTGCTGTGCTGAAAGAAAACTTGAGAGTCCAAATCGAGCCTATAAACCGATTAGCACCACGCAACAAAGCTCAATCGTCGATGCAAGGCGGAGTCTTGGTTGCCAACACATCAGTCTTCTCAAGACTTCGGTATAGGTCCTCAGTATGGTCTCCACCCGATGAGGTGCTGTGCTGAAAGAAAACTTGAGTCCAAATCGAGCCTATAAACCGATTGGCACCACACAACGAAGCTCAAGCCTCGATGCAAGGCGGAGTCTTGGTCGCCAACACATCAGTCCTCTCAAGACTGTGGTATAGGTCCTCAATATGGTTTCCACCCGACGAGTTGCTATGCTCAAAGAAAACTTGAGAGTCCAAATCGAGCCTATAAACCGATTAGCACCACGCAACGAAGCTCAATCGTCGATGCAAGGCGGAGTCTTGGTCGCCAACACATCACTCCTCTCAAGACTTTGGTATAGGTCCTCAATATGGTCTCCACCCGATGAGTTGAGAATCCAAATCGAGCCTATAAAGTTATAAACCGATTAGCACCACGCACCGAAGCTCAAGTCTCGCTGCAAGGCGGAGTCTTGGTAGCCAACTCATCAATCCTCTCAAGACTTCGGTATATGTCCTCAATATGGTCTCCACCCGATGAGTTGCTGTGGTGAAAGAATTTAAACCGCCAGTACATCGCCCAGGCAAACTTGAGAATCCAAATCGAGCCAATCCAAAAATTGTGGGGCCTCGGGGTTACCGGACCACAATGGTTGGTTGTGCAGGCCAAAAAACAGAAAGAAAAAGTGCACCGCTGCCGGCTTAGCAAAGCTTGGCGCGCAGTGCAAATCTGCCACAGCAAAAAGAGGGTCGGATGTACTGGTCCTTTTGTGCAACGGCTGGATGCTTTCTATTGACAGGAGACCTTTTATGCAAGACGTCCCATATTAATAATAAGGTGGCTTGGCACTACGTTGCAAGGGCTCCTCAGACTGGAGGCCTGGGTCTGCTCGACCCCAAACACAAGGCCACCGCACTACAGATAAACTGGGCGATTAAACAACTACATCGCCACTACCTTCCCTGAACGAGGATGGTCCCTCGGCAATATCAGGAAACTGTCTCTGGCTACCACTCCGGAGAATATAGAGGCCACCATTCTGGTCCCAAACCATTTTGAGCCTGACGAGGATGGTCCCTCGCCAAGGAGCGGAAAGCGGAGACAAGGCAACTTGAGTTGGAGAGCCGTGTGATGGGCGACCATCTCGCACGGTTCGGAGAGCACTTGTTACGACCGTCTAGGCTCGACTGTTTCTTCGCGCCTAGCGGTGGAACTCTTGACTCTATTCGTGTTTTAATGAAATTATGTACCCGTCAAAAATGGCCGGGAAATCCTGGCCAACAACCCAAGCAAGCAAGGAGAAGACCCAACAAACACTTCCAGAATCATACCCAAGGTCCCAAATCGTTTCGGGCCCAACGACCTTGCCGGAATTGGACCTCAAGTTTGTGAACCCGTATTGGGCGCCCAAGGCCGCCCATGCTGTTGGCACAGAGGAAAATGGTACCGGCGAAATCCCAGAAAACAAGGCACATAGCAGAGGTCGACGGGCCTAGCTCAGTTGGTACACCCGTCGACTGTTGAAATACAGACCTGAGTTAAAGAATCCACATGGAAGTAGATAAATGAAATCCCTGACTTGCCTGGGGCCGATCAGTTCGATGACGATATCTAAAGGCCATTGGCCTTTTTTCCCAAACAAGGAAAGAAGAGTTCCCTAGGCAATCGGTGTTTTGCAATCAATGCATCACCAATGAAGCAGCACTCCTGTCCCATTTCAACTGACCGCAGGCTGCTTTTTTAGGAAGCGAAGGCTCGAACTGACATGTAGTGTGGTTGGTCTTTGGTGCTTGTTGTTCAGGAGAGGGTTACTGAGACACTTGCTGCGCTTGCCTACCTTCTGGAGTCGACGTATCACGACATTCGAGCAAAAGCAGTTGCAGTCTGTGCGCAGCTGTTCGCCCCCTTCCTGTTAACCTCGTCGGTATCCCATCAACCGCTGTCAACCTCTCCTTTGTCTGAGCTAATCTGGCAATCGCAGGAGCTGAAGGCGGCTTGCGAGCGAATGATCAGGCCACTGTTGCGTCTTATAGGAAACAGCGAGAGCATTGTGGCAGCGAATAGTGTACGTACGCTGCGAGCCATTGTGGCGAGGAGTGGGCTCGGCGGGAGGAAAACCCGCGATGCAGTTGGGAAGGGTGGGGGTGGGGTATCCTTGCAGGGCCTCCATGTCAGTGCTACTTCCACTGCTCCTAGGGTAGAGATGGGGAGCGTTGGAAAAGGCGGTACCAACATTGGGCGGTCCTTAGCGAACAAGAGCCCCCTCGGTGAGGCCTTGGCAAGCGTCCAAGGTTTCGACATCATTTACCGTCAGCTGGCGGGACGGGTCTCCAGCAAGAAAGCAGAGCGGACCGGGACTGAGCTGTGTATCGAGTGTCTGATTTTGCTGGCTGCAATTGTCGGGAGGTTAGTCGACACAGAATGGGCGGAAGAGGTCCGGGAAGGGACAGATCGAATCGTCCGGAGTTCACATCGAAATTGGGGAAAGCTTATCGTTCTCCTGTGCCGGGACGAGGACACAGATGTGGCTGTGGCGGCAAGGGTGGCCTGCGCTGAGTTAGGTATGGTCTGTTTCTGGTATAGAGTCTGTAGACAGAGAGCACTGTTTTTGGGCAGTCTTAAGACTCTTTGCTGTTTGTTGCTCTTTGAGTATCCAATTGAGTTCTATACATTTCTCCGTGTTCTGCTCAGTCTCACACAGCTGATTGGTTTCAAAAGGCTGTTTTTCTTTCTGTTGTTTGTAATGACCGAAGCTTGGTTTTGAGATTAACAGTTTCTTAAACTTTCTTTTCTTTTCTTTTCTTTTTGTCCCTCCCTAACTCATTGCTTGCTTGCAAAAGACTTTCTTTTTTTTTTGGGGGGGGGGAAAGGAGGGGAACCAAAAACAAAAAGCAAAAGAGTTTCTCATATGACCAACCAAAGTCGCCAAGCATTGGATCTTGTTTGCAGTTTTGCCCAAATTGGGAGAAATGGTCCAGCATTTACGCGGTGCTGCGGTGCATGCATTTTTTGCTTTACAACAGCGCTTGACATTACCAAATATGTCTACCATGATTTGAACTCACAACCAGGGAGCTAACCGAAACACAACTCCGCGAAACAAAAGGATGAATGCAAAACTCAAAACTGTGGGTTGTGTATTCCCTCAACACGACTCCATGGAACAAAAGGATTAATGAAAAACTCGAAACTACTTCGCCAAGCTTTCGTTGACTCACGAGGTGGTCAAACGTTTTCCCACTTTTTGTGCATATCACCTCACTCACTTGCTCAGACTGGAAAAGAATTGCCGCACTTGTTCAGTATATCTCTTGCTGAGTCTTGCATCATGAGGGTGTACATGTTGTCAGAGATACTGAACAAGAGCTATTTATAGTAATATAGTACTTAAACAGTAATAAACTGTAATTTTTAATTTTACTATTTTTTAATTTTACTAAGTTACTAATCTTATAGTGAACAAGATGTAAGAGAGGTACTCTTGTTCAGTATCTGATGATTCTGAACAAGAGCTATTTATGTAGTCAGTGTAAGTGAACAAGCGATGAGCGTGTTCAGTATCTCGTTGAGTATCTCACTTTGTGGGAGTTCAGTATGTCGTACATCATGTACACGCTCATCGCTGGCGGTTTATTGCAGAACTGATGTGAGAGGTATGCGCTCATCGCTGGCGGTTTAGTGCGGAACACCAGAAGATAAACTGAGCTATTTATAGACATCATGGATGATTACACCGTGTTAAGCCAACAACATGCTTTAAAAACTTATAAAAAAAGTGGATGTCACACATCATGTCAGTCCGTTTGATTGATGCATGTTCAGTGCCATAAAACCGAATAGATTCATTCAAATTAGCGTGGAGAAATCGTACTGACAATGTTTGGCATTTGGAACGACTCCAAAACCCCCCTGGTATTCAATGTACCTTCTTGTTGGCTGAATGGTACACATGTCTAGACTCTAGAGTCTAGATGTATGGGAGATTACAATTGCTTTTCCACAGGTCACGAGTTCAAAACCTTTCCAATTTGCTACCATCATCTTTGCATCTTCTTCCTGCTTTTGGGGGTGGAGGGGGAAGGGG